ACACCAAGAAAAAAGAGGCTGCAGGTGCTGTTGTTCCCCTTCACTTACTTCCAAGTAAATCTCTTTAGGAATGGCTGTTAGATGTGCATAACTTTGGCTGGATCATGCTCAGAATTTGATAGAGGACACCCATATCACCAGGTAAAGTTAGCTCAGCACTGCTATTTAGTGTTTTCCAGTAATTTTAGATTGTGAAATGCAACTTAATGACCTAACAAAAGACAATTTTAAATACCTCATAGATGGTATTTCTTTGGTTCATCAAATTCAAATTAATATCGATAAAGATGGTGGTATTGATAATTTAAGTACATTAATATTTAATTAATTCAAAAAGGATTTACATACAACATTTCAAAAGAAATTAAGCAGTGTACATCTGCCCCACATTTATGTATTTATTTTAAAAGAATTTTTACCTTGTTTTTCAGCCAAAAATCTCCCTGAGCAGCTTATGCTTTAGTACCACCACCAAGAACAATAAAGTCCTTGTCCTCAGATTTAGCATTTTAATGACAATGTCACAAAAGGAAAATAGGGTGAGGAATGAGGAGGGAGGAAAAGGCAAACACAAGTACCAGTTCTTAAAGCTGATTTTTTTCTCATCAGCTGAGAGTTCAGAGAAAGGTGGAGCCAAAATGAGTTGTTCTCCCAGTGGAGCTGTCAAAGTGGCCTCACCTCCCATGTCTCCCTCTGTTGCAGCCTGGTGGAGTTGAGTTGGGGGAGCCAATGGAGCTAGTTTCTCAGCAGAGCTTTGCTTCCCATCTCTCCTTTTGCCATAGCCTGATGGAAACCAAAAATCCAAAGCAATTTGTTGGAGGGTGGGGTGGAACAATCAACAACACTCATTATTTGTGGCCTCTCTAAAGGCATTTCACCTGCTTAGCAAATATATCAAGTTTGTGCTTTAAGGACAATTCATTGCCTCAATTTTCAGTGGCGTATGCATCATAAATAAGAGCTGATTGTTGTACTGCTAATTAAATTCTCAATGTATATCAGTGCAATTGTTGACCGTGATGACACTTCTGGAATTAATATATATGCGTAACTGCAATCAGCAGATTAGTCCTTGCCCAGGCCTGATCTGGGGCCTGGAGGTCCAGCCCCCAACATGTGGCCCAGTGGCTGCTCACTTGGGAATGCCTGGTGTGTGAACTGGTGGGAGGGAGCGATGTGACCACATTGCCATGGAAACAGGGAGGTGTCTTCTGGGCCAATCCCAACAGGAAATATTGGGAGGCAGGACAGGAAAGGGGAGAATTCACAGCTGGCTTGCATTAGGAGTCTGGACACCTTCTTTTCCCACTCTGCCCCCTCTTCTTCCTCTGACCATGCATCGTTGTCCCACCACCAATTCCCTGGCTGAGCCTTCTACCTTTGGGGGTTCCTCAGCTGCTGCCTCCCACCGTTCCAACCAGTCCATAACAAGTGGTATAGAAATTTAATAAATAAGAGATAATGATAATAATATATCACCTTTTTTATTACTACTATTGCCTGGAAGAGTCCCGTTGTTATAAAAAGAAGGAACCCCTTTGGAAAAGGATGAAGATAGATGGAAAAGCCTGCACCTTAGTGGGTAGAACACATGCTTTGCATGCAGAAGGTTCCAGCTTCCATCCCCAGCCATCTCCAGGAGTGGCTGGGAGAGACCACTGTCTGAAATCCTGGAGGGCTGTCAGTGCAGAAAGTACTGAGCTAGATGGACTAATGGCCTGGCTTAGTCTAAGCTCATTTCCTTGGAAGCCTACATATTTCATTTGTGTGGATGCCGTTTCATACTATGCAGAACCAAATGAAGATTTGCCACTGGGCATGCAATCTCCAGGGGGCTGCAGCCATTCACAATTCCCTGATGTAGGTTCCAGGGTGGTTTGTTTTTAGTGGGGGGCAGGCAAGATTCCTTGAGTGTGCCCCTAAACTGAGTGAACCCACCTCTTTCTCAGAGATATCTCTATTGTTCCTTCTCTTGCCCCCTCTCTCTGCGCTTGAGGAAGAAGGCAAGGCAGGTGAAAGGTGCTTCTCTCTCTTGTTCCTGCTTGCATGCTCAGAGGGGGATAGCTGAATATTATTATTATTATTATTATTATTATTAATTTATTTATACCCCGCCCATCTGGCTGGGCTTCCCCAGCCACTCTGGGCAGCTTCCAACGAAGTATTAAAATACAGTGGTCTGTTAAACATTAAAAACTTCCCTAAACAGGGCTGCCTTCAGATGTCTTCTAAAAGTCTGGTAGTTGTTTTTCTCTTTGACATCTGGTGGGAGGGCGTTCCACAGGGCGGGTGCCACTACTGAGAAGGCCCTCTGCCTGGTTCCCTGTACCTTGGCTTCTCGCAGTGAGGGAACCGCCAGAAGGCCCTGAAAGCTGGACCTCAGTGTCCGGGCAGAACGATGGGGGTGGAGACTCTCCTTCAGTTGAACAGGCAGTAACAGCACAGCAAAGAGGAAGAGGAGCAGCAGAGCCTGGAGACTCTGGGGGTTGACAGTGCAGGGCTGCGGCTAGTGTCCAGCAATGCTGATGCAGGCCCTGCATATATGATAAGGTGTGTTTGCAAACGTACCATTTCATGCCATATACAGTATTTCTCAAGTTATAATATTGGAAAGACCCCTTGAAAGGTGCAAACTGAAGTGTTGGGCACGAAGGATCTTCCCTTAAATAGCGGGCTAAATTAGGCATAGACCGCGAAAGGCTCGTGGGCAATCTGGTCTTGTTACTCAGCCTGTGTTGCCTTGTGCTGCCCCCCTGTGGTGGTAACTCACCTGAGAATGTGCAAACCTTTGGAGAGAGCGAGCCTGGTGCCTGCTAACGGTAGTGCCTCTTTTCAACATCGCCACCATCATTATAGAACCCTGTGATAACGTTTTACTGTTTGACATCTGCTTCCTTCCACTTTTAGATGTAGCGTGTGGAACAAAGGCCTCTGTGACTGCCCACATAGCTCTTCCTTGCACACACTGTTTGAAGCATCTCAGCAGAAATGACTTCAGACAATTGCTCATTATAGGTTTAATTTTCTTCAAGCAGCATATAAGGCACTAATTTCTACATGTCGGCAATGTCTGAGTGATGAGCGAGACAGGGTATTTTCGAGCATTTATACCTAAGAAGCAGCTGCCACTAAAACCAGCCAGAGTCTTGCTTGAAGAAGAGAAAGACCAAGAAGCCTTTGTATGTGATTGCAGAAAACAACTCCCCTACTTGTAACTGACAGATGCAACTGACAGCTTGTCTTTCCCCGACTGAAGGAAGGGCAGCCTCAGCATCTACCCCAAGTGGAGAGCAGAATGACTACCAGCACATTAAAAGAGGCAGAAGTGGAACAAATGGAAAGACTTTAGAGGACTGACCCTATCTTTGTGGGAGGGCAGGTGCTTGGCATACAGAAGGTCCCATGCCCATTCCTGACATCTCCAGTTAAAAGGACCAGGTGGCAGGTGATGAGGAAGACCTGTGCAGCAAAGCAACTGCCTTTCGGGGTAGACCAGGGATGGCAAACTTCAGCTGCTGGGGCAAAATATGCCTCTCCCTGGTCTGTCAAGTAAAACTCAAATCAGTTCACAACATGAAAACATACTATGTAATAAGCAATACCACCCCCACCCCCCAAATGTGGGTTCCCTCACCCCAGCCATCTTTGCCACACTCCAGTTTTATGGCATGCTCTGAAGGAGTGCATTTAGTGACCACTGGATCTGGGTCCAAATCAAACTTCCATCTGGAGAAAACACAGTTTTCTCCACGGGAAGCAGAGGGACAAGGGGAAGAGCGAATAAGCCCTGAGCGGCCAATAAAAGCAACTGGATTTGGTGGACTAGCTTCTAAAGGATGTCTGGCTATGATTCAACTTGGGAACCAGATCCCTGCTCTGTCTAAAAAGTTTCTGCCTCTTGTAAAATATTCTAAATTATAGTTGTTTACTGGGCTCAACAACCAGGAGACCTTTTCATGCTGATCACCAGCAGAAAGTCTGGTCAGTGGAACATAGGAAACTGCCTTATACGGAGTCAAGTAATTGGTACAGCCAGTTCAGTATTGCCCACACTAACTGGCAGCTGCTCTTCAGGATTCCAAGAAGGATCGTGGACATCCAACAATGTGGGATGCTGAGAGATTCAAGACTGATAAAAGGCAGGCCTTCAGGCAGTGCATAAACTCAGGAGGAAGCAATGGCAACCAACCTAGATGGCATTAAAAGAAGATTAGACAAATTCATGGAGGAGATGGGTTACTAGTCATGAAGGAGGGCAGCAGTGCAGTTGCTGGAAACCACAGGAGCGGGGAGTGCCCTTGTGCTTGAATCCTGCTTGCAAGTTTCCCACTGGCTGGCCACTGTGAAAACAGGCCTACATGGGCCATTTGGCTTAATCCAAGGAGGCTCTTCTTATGTTCTTGGGTCTCTCCCAACCTTAGTTGGAGATGAGGAGACTGAATATGCAACCTTCTACTTGCAAAGCAGATGCTCTTGCATTGCCTGATGGTCCTGAAGCATCTCTAGGAATAAGAACACTGGACTAGATGGATCCCTTCTCCAACATGGTGCCTTCCAGCCCTTGTTGGACTACAACTCGCCAGCATGACCAGGGGCTGATGGGTGTTGTACGTCCACCAAGGAGGTCAGGAGGTCAAGGCTCCATCCGGCGGGCCACTCCCTGGCTACGAATGCCCTCCACCATTACCAGCCGGCTGAGCTCCCCTCCTCCGAGCTTAAAGCCAGAAGACCCCTTCCTCCCAGAGGCCTGGCAGAGAGGCCGGCTCCTGGGCCACCGGGCGTCGGGATTGGGCGCCGGGCCGCCTTCCCCCGGGGCCGCTCTCTCGCCCTCGGAAAGGGGTGGGGGGTTGGAGCGGGAATGGAGGTGACGCAATGCCTGCAATCCCGAGGAGAGCTGCGCAGCGGCGGCCTGAGCAGAGGGCGCGCCCCGAAGGCGAAAGGGAGGCGCCGCTGGGGCTTCTGGCGCGCGTGCGGCTCCGCCCCTGCCGGCCGGCCGAGCTGAGGCGAGGGGGCTGAGGCGCCTCCTATCAGCAGAGCTCTGCGCCGCTGCTCCAGCCCGCGCGGCTGCTTGCAGGTGAATTGAAAGTCGTTGGCGGGGAGGGAAGGACACAGCCGCCGCCGCCGCCTCCTCTGCTTCCTCCTGCCTCTGCTGCTGCTGCGTCCTGGTGGGGCAGCCGAGGCGCGTGAAACCCGGACCCCCAGCCGAGCCCGGCGGCGTTTCTCCTTCTGCCGCTGCAGGGCAGCTGCTGCGTGCGCCCGTGCCCAGGAGGCGCCCGCCTCAGGGGAGGCACCGGCCGGCCAGGCATGTCTTCGCCGAGGGGCTCCCCGCTCGCCAGAGACCTCGACGGAGCGGGAAGGACAGGCAGCCTCAAGCGCGCAAGTAAGTCTCCCCGAAAGTTTCGCCTTCGCAGCCGGGGGTGGGGGAGGCCGTATGATTTGCTGTGAGATAATCTGCTCTCCTCATAGTTTCTGGGTTATGATGACTCGGCGGCAGTCTGCACATGCTCAGAGGCGCGCTTATCTTTATTGCTTCACCTTTCCCGCGCCTTAGAAATAGAACCCCCTTTCCTCTAGCCTATAAATGGTGCCCCGGTTAGTACCAGCTGCGGAACTGAGCCCGCGTCTCGCAACCTTCCTGCGTGGCTAGGAATGGCTCGAGGCTCATGTCTTTCGTTTCGACGGCTGGAGGAAGGACTTCACTTGCGCCTATGGATAATGAGAAGTCGTCTTGTGTTTCCATGTCCCCTAAGCTTTGGGGAAGACTGGCTAGAGTGGGTGTGAGGAGCATGTCACCCGTGGGTGTGGAAGGGGATTTCTCGGAGCAGGAGGGAGGCTCTTCCAAGTCCGGTTAAGGAGACTTTGAGGCTGTAGTCTTCTGTGCACTTAAAAGTGGGAGTACATCCCATGGAACACACTGGGATTTGCTTCCATTTAAACGTGCTGTAGGATTGAGTTGTGTGTGCTTCAGTGGGTGATAACCACACAAATGGGGGTGGGGTGGGGGGTTAAGGGGACTGGTCACTCTTTTGTGCCACTTTCCTTGATCTCCCCAAACCATCCCCTTGCGAGAGCATTCTTGGTTGTGGGATAACAAGAGACTTTGACATATTAACTGTGTGGTGAGGACTGGGAGACTGTTTCTGTTCTGTTCAAAGACACTTTTTTTTTTTGCATGGCAAACTTTACTAGCACTTTGGAAGGGCAGAATTCTAAGGGTTGGAGAATGCGGTATGTGTGGGTCCTGCCACCCAGGAGTCAACCATGTTTCAGATTTGGTTTTTGCACCCCTGCATTTCCATTGCTCATTCCTGTCCATCCATGATATGGTCATGGCCATCTAGTGTGATGCTGATTTTGCTGATCTTACCTTGGGATTGTTCACTGTTTCCTTTTTTCTCCCGATCTTTCCTCTTCACCTCTGCACCCATCCATCATCTGCAAGGAGGCTAATTTGGGAGCCAGTGGTGACCTTGGAGCATTCTTCCTAGCCAGTAGACCTATAGAACATGTACCTTCTTTCTGGGCTGCAGTCTTCTGCTTTGGGCAGGGTTCTGGCAACCTTGGACTCTGGATTCTACATGCATTATTTGTATGTGTATGTATGTATAATCTTTCCCTGGGACCAAGTCCTTCGCTTCAATGCTTATTCCGCTGTGCGTTTGGCTCGCGTTGCCCTTGAGCAAGGGATTTGAATTAAGTTGCCCAAACTTCTTTCTCCTAGGCAAACTTCACCGCTTGTGCTCTGTAGTTGGTGGCTGGCTCTGACTGCAGCGAGTTAAATGCTGCTGCTTCTTGCCCTGTGGATATATGCTGAGCTCTGCAGAAGGACCTGCTACAGCAGCAGTTTGCATTGGCAGATAATCTTCTGGACTTGTTCCTTGTCTGATGCAGGGGAGCAGGGTTGCCTGAATGATGGGAATTATAACCTTTGGTTCTAGGCAGCCTTTTGGGAAGGAGAGGTAATTTAGGTACCTTTTGAGATTAACACTGTTTTAATTAACTCGAGCAGGCTAATCGCTGGGCACAGGATTGGTTCAGGCTGTTACCTGAAAATGGGGGAAAGGCATGCTAAGAATAGTGAAATAATACTGTGTCCTTTTAATTGGGTTGCTTTTTTATACTCCAGTGACTTCCTGCCTATAATTTGAGACCCCTTTTTAGCCTCTAATAAATAGTAGCTACCCTTGAGAGATTGTTTGCATCTGTACACCACGGTTGGAAGGCTCTGTAATCATAAATACTTTATTGTGCAAAATTACCCTTCTTATTATAAGATGCATGAGGAGTTGCTGCTGCTGCTGCTGCCACCTCGCAGAATGGAGATCAGTGTTTCCTTAGGTAAATTGGGGAGGAGATCCATGTCTGTATGACTATATGTACCTTTTATATGTAGTACTTTCTAGCATACTAGGTATTTTGCAATCATTGACTTGCATCCTAGGGGAGGTTAACATAAAAATAAACTCTCAAAAGGAAAGTTTCTCCTCTTCACTACAATACACAAAAATGATAACATTTGCAGAACGCAGTCACTGCTTCAGCCGTAAAAGCAGAGATTAAAATCACAGAGGTGATGAGCCTTTCCTTATTTTTTCCAGGCGTCATCAGGTGCTAAAAAGATAACAAATGCAGGGTCAGGCAAACTTCCCCAGGGAGAGAGTTACAAAGCCATAATGCAGACCCTATTTCTGGCTACCACCTACCTAATGTCTTGATGACTGGGGAACACAGAAAAGAGCCTCTGAGGCAGATTGCAAAGCAGGGCTTTTAAAAAAAGGAAAATGTAGAACTGCCCGGTGGTACGTGGTTACAATTTGCATGCAAAACACACACTGCTGTGACACACCTGTGTGTTTTCCTAGTCTATGCGTATGTGCATTCTTGCCGCCACATTTAGAAACCTACGTAGAGTAGGATAAAATCCTTGGAGCTGGAATTTGACAACACTAATACAGAAGAGTGTTATACCTAGACACAAATGTTTCATGTAGCTTTGACCCCAAAAGGTCTTTGTTAAGAATGCCGTATTGGATATTATTGGAATCATTGCTCTTAGAATATTAACACTGACAACTTCGCATGGCTTATCAGGAAAGGGGGGGTCTCCGTGTTCTAGAACTATTTCCTTCAGATTAGAAATATTGGTGAATACTCCGTCAAGCAGTCTTTCTCAGCCTTGGGTCCCTAGATGTTGTTGGACTACAACTCCTGTGATTCCTAGCTAGCATGGTCAGTGGTCAGGGATGATGGGAGTTGTAGTTCAAGAACATATGGGGACCCAAGCTTGAGAAAGGCTGCTGTAGAGGGTAGCAATGGAGTCTGTTGGGAGTGTTTTTGGCAGGGGGAGGTGAAATAGGCATGCTTGATCAGGGTCTGGAAATCTAAGGGAGCTTGGGCTTCTTAATGTACTTTTCAAATTGACCTCATACACTTTTTACATCACCTAACATAACACAGCTTGCAGTTTAAAATGTTCTTATTCAAATGCTCATTTTGTGTATGGCTGCCCATTAAACAAGAGCTTGGGCTTGCTTATATGTAAGAAGGTATTTATAGATTGTACAGGGCTTTACTATATGTGTGAACTGAAACAAAAAAACTGAACTGCTTTCTATTTTCAAAATACAATAAAACCTTGTAATAAAGTAACACAAAACAGTACCTATACCAGTGCTAGATAATTCCCATCTTAACATAATCATACTAAAATCACAATGATCTAACTCAAGAAAAAGAACCTGTTTTAACTCTGTTGCATCCCATAGCTGTGAGGCCATGAACAAAAAGGCCCTGTTACCACCCTTTCAGATTGTACCCAGAAATGAACCAAGGGTCTTCTTCTAAAAAACTGGCTTGATGCCTTCCATTTTTCCTGCTCCTAGTCAGTAATGCGTATGTTGTGTTTTGAACTATTTCTGTTAAAAGGCAGCCGCATGCTTGATAAACTGCAGAACGAAGGAGCATTTCTGCCAAGAGGCGGGTGGTAGACCAAACAGGAAAGTGGGTGGGATTCAGACTGTGTGGAGTGTGGGCTGAGGGATTGTTATGTTCATGTTGGCTCACCTACTTCATTTATTTATCACCAGCTGTATAATAACGAAGGGCTGTAGCTCAGTGGTAGAGCAGGTTCCCAGGTTCAATTCCTGGCATTTCCAGGCAGGGCTGGGAGGGACTTCCTGTCAGAAATCTGTTTGTTTGCCAATATACAACAGCTGTGTGAAGCAAGGCAGCACAACTGTTACTCCTCTGCTTTTCTTAGGCCTACCAAAATGTCACCATGCTTTCAAGTTCTCCAGAATGCTTTATTAGGCTATATGGCTGGGGTCAGCATATTCAGCAGGGGGCCAGTCCACTGTCCCTCAGACCTTGTGGGGGCCGGACTATATTTTGAAAAAAAAATAATGAACGAATTCCTATACCACACAAATAACCCAGAGATGCATTTTAAATAAAAGCACACATTCTACTCATGTAAAAACACCAGGCAGGCCCCACAAATAACCCAGAGATGCATTCACATTCTACTCATGTAAAAACATGCTGATTCCTGGGCCGTCCGCAGACCGGATTTAGAAGGTGATTGGGCCGGATCTGGCCCCCGAGCCTTAGTTTGCCTATCAATGCTATATGGCATACTAATTCATGGAGTGGAGAGAGGGAATAAGTTGACTGATGGTGAAGCCATAGGAACTTTTGTCGCATTTTTATTGGCCTAGTAAAGATATTGCTCTAAAATGGATTTTTCTTCTTTTTAATGGGCTAGAATGGCTACCCTTACTTCTTGTTCCCCTATTTCAGCCATAGTCAGCTGAACTCAGTGCTCTATTTCTCTCTGTTGCTAAATTCAGCGCTACCCTTGTTATCTCCATAGCAGAACACTCCCCTGAATGACTATGCCCCAAGCTACCCTACCCGAATGGCAGGAATATAAGCCAATCATCCTGGAAGGTTAGCAGGAAATTAGTTTAACATAGGATAGCCCCCCAGCAGCTGTGACAATACAGTTTCCTATCAGCAGAACTTTTTATTCTTTAAATATCCACTTAGTTTCAGGTTTGTTGGGCTTTGCACCTCACTTGTGACGGGCATTCTATTCACAGGCAGCAACCATTTTGCAAGTGCCCAGTTGATGTGCGACCACCGACATGTGCATTGTTTTCAGACCTGGAAGGGGGTGGGACAGGCTTACATGTGACCACTGACACACACCATGACCCAAAACGCAACCCCTGCACAAACAGGGAGTTGCCCTGTCTTTGTTTTATACACCCCACCGCTTCTACTTGTTCTCTGGGCGACTTACAAAAAGTCAAAATGACAGTAAGGTAACATTAAAAACTAGAACATTAAAACACCACCATTAAAGGGCAATGTAAGGAAAGGCGTTGGTGGAACTAAAACGAAAAATCCAATGCAAAGTGACATAAATGCAATGTAAAGAGATTTAAGAAACCTGAGATAATAAAAGCCTTTGTTTGGCTTTGAAACAACATCAAGGTAGGCACTAGGCAGATCTCCCCATGGAGGACATTCTTCAGTCAGGGTGCCACCACTGAGCAGGTCTGTCCTTCTGCAGCTACCTGCCACATTTCAAATGGCAGGGACATTTGATTTAAAAATAATAATAATGAGTAATTCGGTTTTTTTAAAATGTTGGTGCAGAGGGGTGGTGTTCTTAGGTCAGGATCTTGTGGATACATCCAAATGTTCATGTACAGTGGTGCCCCACAAGACGAATGCCTCGCAAGACGAAAAACTCGCTAGACGAAAGAGTTTTCCGTTTTTTGAGTCGTTCCGCAAGACCAATTTTCCTATGGGCTTGCTTCGCAAGACGAAACGTTTGTTTGTTTCCTTTTTCTTAAAGCCGCTAAGCCGTTAATAGCCGCTAAGCCGTTAATAGCCGCTAATCCGCTAATAGCTGTGCTTCGCAAGACGAAAAAACTGCAAGACGAAGAGACTCGCGGAACGGATTAATTTCATTTTGCGAGGCACCACTGTATACAAATACGCCAGGTCTTCCACAACTTTGTAACCACAGCTCCTTGCAGTTCATTGGGTGCTGCTTCCCATAATCCCAACCCTTTTCGGGTTGTAGGAAGGGGGAGGCCTGACAGCCCTCTCTGATCAAGTGTTTGTGGTCTTCGCTTCAGTGCATGTTCACTTTTCCTAATTGAAAGTACTTCTCTGTCCCAAAGGCTGCATTTCTGAACAATCCAAAGCTTCCCTCACTCATGTGTTTCTAAACAAGTCTCTCTCTTTCTCATTTTTTATAAAGGAACTAATCTCATTGCATGTAGCCCAAAGGTTTCGCTAAAAGGGTAAACACAGTGTATGTTTATAGAAGTAAGAATGGACAAACTAATAATGTGGTGATGGCTGCTGTGTTAGACAGCTTTTGAATGGGTTGGGGGAGAAAATCACGAAGGCAGGCCTACTGTCAAAACCGTACATCCTTTGGCAGCTGCTGAAGGCCCCACAGGTGCTTAACCCCTGCTTTGAGTTGCCATGCTTAGCCTGTTTGTCTTTTCCAGACTGCTTTTTGACAGTTTAAATGGTGGGCTGCTTGCAGCCACCTGCTGCAGACTGTAAAGTTGCGGCCTAATATAGCCACTGGAAATCCTACAAAGTGCCTGTGCCTCCTCCAGCCTGGCACCAGCCCTGAATGAAAGAGTACATCTGTGCTTCTGTGATCCAGAATAGCTAAATGGAACTTCCATCTACAAAGGCAAGTATGGGGAGCCCTTGGGCCTGCTGATGTTGTTGAACTACAATTCCCATCATCCCTGGCCACTGGCCATGCTTGCTTGGACTGATGGGAATTGTAGTCCAGCAAAACCTCTGGCAGGCCAAAGGTTCCCAAAATGTGACCTAAAACAAAGTGAATTGGTTTTTGGTTGCCCCACCATAGCCACTGCCTTAAACGTATTTCCAAAAGATTGAATTACTGAATTGACAGGACTCTTTGGAGAACCTGGTGGGGAAAGATTTGACGAGTGTGCCGAGTCACCAATCTGGTAGCTCAATGTCTGTACCCACCCAACTTCCTCAAGGGAGAAGCCGAAGGCAAGAGGTAAGAGGAAGTAAGATTGGAATAGGATTGACTATGTTTAATTAAAGAAGTACATTTATTAAGAACATGCAGGATGCAACAGTGCAACCCACCTTGGGACTGACAGTTATGAGTAGCGTGGGATTGATTTATTTTTTTTAAAGAAAAAAATGTCAATCACTTAAACAATTTGTACAATTTGACTTAGAAATTTTTACAGACTACTAGCACGGGCATGTAGATCGCGTGCTGCAGTGGATCCCTTTTTTGATAACAACCATCATCATCACCCAGGCCAGTGAACATAGTGGTCAGTTTAATGCAAATTGGAGGTTGTATACTGGAAATCGTGACAGATGAAGTTATCTAGAGGCATGCAACGGCCACAGATCTGATTTGTACCCTGATTTGGTACATTGTAAAGCCCCCCCCCATTGTTGAGTGTCATATGGGTGGGAAATTAGTTCAAGTCTTCTCCATTTCCCCCCCATTGACTACCAGGAAGTAAAAGAATGGCTATAACTTCATTTCCTTTTAACAGAAGAAGGTGAAATGTGCAGATATACTAACTCTTCCAAAATGTATAAAGCCTGCCAAATATGTCCAGGTGTTTTTGTGCTGGGCAGCCTTAAAAATTTCTTTTTTTTAAAAAAACCTATAGCTTTTTAATTTTGAGTCAGAATTGGATGAGATTCGCAATCCTAAGGGAATGAACCCTGCCAAGTTTCAGAAGGATGACTACAGCATTTTTCCTGCAAAGGCAGCAATTGCAGTTTGAGGATACGTGTGTGTGGGAAAAGGAATAAACGAATCTGTTCCTCGTGTTTTGTGGACAATTGTTCTGCAAATTGCAAGCATGAAAGGGGTGCCCTGGCGAGAAACCTGCTGAATTACAGGCAAATAGGTCCAGGGGCATTTGTGCTAGGAACTTTTTAAAAGTTGATTTGTAGGTGGGAAGAAATAAAAAGGGATTGTTTTCCAGGGAAAACCATTCCCTTTGATTACAAGCATGGCCAGTTGGCCTGAAAAGCTTGGCCCTTTGCCCTCTCCCCATTCTGGGGCTTGCTCTCATTTCACCCATCCTCTCTCCTTGGCATTGTATGGCAAGCTTAGAGAGGTTAAAGGTAAAGGTAAAGGGACCCCTGACCATTAGGACCAGTCGTGACTGACTCTGGGGTTGCGGCGCCCATCTCGCTTTATTGGCCGAGGGAGCCGGTGTACAGCTTCCGGGTCATGTGGCCAGCATGACTAAGCCGCTTCTGGTGAACCAGAGCAGCACACGGAAACGCCATTTACCTTCCCGCTGGAGCGGTACCTATTTATCTACTTGCACTTTGACATGCTTTCGAACTGCTAGGTTGGCAGGAGCAGGGACCGAGCAACGGGAGCTGACCCTGTCGCGGGGATTCGAACCTTCTGATCGGCAAGTCCTAGGCTCTGTGGTTTAACCCACAGCGCCACCCGCGTCCCTTAGAGAGGTTAGTTTTTTTTATTTATTTCAGTATTTATTTCAGTTTTATTTATGTCAGCACATTTTTCTTTTAAAAATGTTAGGATTGCTAAAGCATAACAAAGCACTTCAGAAGATCCTGGTTCAACTCTTGCCACTTTGTACTGTTGCCCAAGAGCCCTCCAAGGCACCCTACTTCATCTCAGAATTCATGAGCACCTGTTATACTCCTCTGCCAGGCTCTTCATAGGAACTTCACTGTGAAATGGTCACAGTGACAAGACTCAGTGCAGGCTGCTAGGCAGGTGAAACAGAGGTCAATTTGTACCGCTGCCCTTTCAGCAAGCAACTTCGGGGTCTGCGTTTAACCAAAGATAAAATTTATTTGCGTTTCCTGTGACTGATTGATGCCTAACTTCCTAATTCTTTGTGACAACATATTAATACATTTTCTCCCTTTAGTTTCAGTTTTACCATAGAATGTCTAATACGCAATTCTGTGGTAATGGTGCATTTGGTCTCAAAACACCGCCTCCCCCCACCCCCAAACCATATTTGGTAAAGCAAACATGAAGTGAAACACTTAATCCTGCTCCAAGGTCACCTCTTGACAGTTCATCACTTGTAGTCCGTGGAACAGTTATATAATTACACGCTCAAGATGAGTATATTTCAATTCTTAGTGTAAAACACAGATCAAGGCATTCTCCTAACTCCTAAAACTTCTGCTACAACAAAAATTAGGCATTAGGGTAGCTCAGTGGTTCTCAAACTTTTTCCCCCTGGGCCACACTTTCAGAATAAAAATTTGCTCATGTCACACTGAATTTTTTATTGATAAGAAATACGTTGTCAGAAGGAAACAACTCCTAGCAGTGCTCGATTTATAAC